TGGACATTGATTAGGAATACAAGCACCTTGTTATCCATTGTGTGCAACTGGTATACATGATTGGATAGTCGATCATATATATAAAACAGTCCTCACCACTTAGGGTTGAACTTGTTGCTTCTTGAATATTGTAAGGTGGCTCTGTATATGAGGACTTTGTCTCCTATGTTGTATTCTAGAGATCTCGAGTATTGCTTGTTGTGGTAAGTTTTCTGTCAGGCTTGAGCTTACTGTATGTGATAAATTGCGATTTGTCAGACCTCTTTTTTCTCTCATTTTGATTGTTTTCCTGTTAGTCTTGTTTGTTATAGCTCCTGCAGTTTTATCGATTTGGTATTTCTCCTGTAGTTCTGGAAGCTCGTCATTGCAATTCATCATTCAAGTTGTTAGAGGTCAATCATGATAAGTATGGCTTGATTATTAGCTCTGTTCCATCTAATTTTGTTGATTTCTTCAGAATAAGGAGCATGATTGTAATTATGATTATGACAACTTCCTGACATTGTTTTTCTTTGAAGCTAGCATCTTATCAACAGTAAATAATTTCTTTTTGTACATAATTGCTTCTGGTTTCATTCTTGCTCCCTTCATCTTTTTCGTGACTAGGAGCAAGTATGCGATTATAATTATGATTATAATTACGATTATAATGATATCCTGGTATTTCCTATCATCAGGGCCGTATTCTTCCATCTTGGTAAATATATATATATGCATATATATTCTAAGTGTGCACTTTATAAGATAAACTTATTATTATTATTATTTTCTTTACGATTGTGATTACAATTATGATGGTATTTCGGTATTTCTAATCATCAGTCTTAATCAATTCTGATAAATTGCGACATTTTCTTTTGTTTTACCATTGGCTTCTAATTTTTTTTACTATTTTTTTTTTCCTGGCTCTATGCTCTTAATGTCTGGTTTGCTGTCTGCAAGTTCTCCTTGATCCTTAGTGATATCACATTCCTGGCATGAACCACTGAAATCTTGTAGGTAAGTTCTAGTTCTTTGTTTTTTGGTAAGATGATGCATTTATGGTATAACCATTAATTTTCAGGAAAATAAGATATACTGTAATGAAATAATTAATTCCATTATATTATTTAATTATTATTATTATTTTATTATTATTATTTTAGCTTTTTTTGATATTATTTTAGTATTATCTTATGAATTTATTCTT